TGTCATGCAAGCATACGGCTCGGTAAACCTCAACGCCAGGCCGTGGCATCCAAGGTCGTGAGCCCCCTTTAGGGTTTAGGGTTAGGGTTCGGGTTTAGGCATCTTAACACAGGAGACCCCAAATCCGAAATAAACCCTGCCTGATCCCTCTTTTGATTTCCTTCGATTAAACCTGAAAAAACCTTGGTGCCAAAATAGAGACCCTCAACCCCTTCGCACACAACCTCTGACAGCCTACGCCTCCAAACCAACAGGGGCACACACACACACACACAAACACACAAATCCTCCACCTCTTTCAACACCCTCTAAAGTCCGCAAGGTAAAGAAATACTACAAATCCCAAACCCTAAAGAACCAGGCCTTCAGGGTTCCTTAGTACGAAAACCCTTTAAAACCATTCACAAGGGGTGAAGCGAAAGAACCTCCCAAACTCCAACCAACCTAAACCCTAAACCCCAATCCCCTAAAAACCCTGAACCCCTGAACTCCTAACTTAAGCTCCTTAAGCCTTCAAGAGCCAAGGTACCCGGGGTTTCCAAGAGAACCCCCTCACTCCGCCCTCGCGCTTGGGACGCGCCATGAGCCTCGGAAGAGCTCACAAAAATGGCAAGACCCACGGGTAGCTTGGCTCTTTGAGGCTTAGGTACTTAAGGTTTAGGGCTTCGGCGCTCACACTCGGACAATCCCTGTCCGATTCTGGCATCTCAGCCGAAGGGTGAGTTTGGCCAGGAGAAAAGAAAAACAGAAATACGAGTAACAATATTATCAGTAGTCATAATAACTGATAGTAATACTAATAGAAAGAGTAAAGGGCTTGAGGTTGGCTTTAGGGCATAGTTGGGCTCACTCTTCTAGCCCTGGCGCTGTTCTAAAGTCTCAGACATCTTCCCGCGATTCAGGAGCCCTCAAATTGGTCGGGGCTGAAGCTGGTTAAGGATTTAGCATCCCACACCCGAACATCCAAAAACGTTTAACGGCGTCAACATTTTTCGGACTAGGAGAAAGAATGTAAAGACCGTGGGCGGTAGCAAAAACGGAACAGCTGTCACCAAAAAACTCCGAAAACTCCAAGATCAGCATCTACACCTCGATAAGCCATGAACCCTAACACCTGAATCCCACACCCAAACTCTCGGCGCAGATTGAATCAACGGCAGGTTTGAAGCCGAGGGGCCAGAAAACAAGACCACCGTCCGCCCGAGCATGAACGAAGCTTCGGATGTCTTATCTCACTTCCGCCCTTGTGCTTGAGGTCTTTTCGGTGTAGATTCCTAGGGTCCCTGTCGTCGTTTAGGTTTCGGGTTTAGGCCTATGCTTGCGAGTTTAGGGCTGCAGCGCTCGAATGTCGACTTGAAGCTTTGATGGCTTAGGATTTGAACTTCCAACGTGCTGGCTTGAGGGGCTGGCCGGGGGAATTCTTAGTCACCAGATGATAGTCATGGCGACTATCGTGTTGGCAGGCATGGTAGTAATTACCCAATGACAGCTACAAACGGCTCGAAAGCAGTTTGGGTAGATTGAGGGTCATTGAAGCTGCTGCCGCTGCAGGGCAGGTATCCACACTGGGTTCGGCTGGGACGTGGCTTTCCCATGCCATCATTGGAAACAACGCACCATTTACTATTTACAGATCGAAACTTCCACTAAAATTTACTTAGCTCCCGTAGGCAGGAAAAAGAACCTGGAGTCTCCGGCCCCGAGACATGAACGCCATGTCTCGGGCCCATCCAAACCATGAACACAACGTGTGAATTTCAGTCCATAGTGTTTTACTGAACCTTTTTCCACTGAGAACCCAAGCTCCACCTAGCCGCATTTGCTGGTAAATCAGTAATTGGCCCCAGGCTCCGGCGCCTAAGATCACCACCAAAAGCTTGCAATGATGAGGGGGGTGGGTCGGATACACCGTAGGGCTCTAGACTCTAAACTATTCGTAGAAATATTTACTGATAGAAGCCCATTCTTGTCCACGGTTACATGTTATGAGCTATACTATAAGGGTACTATAACGTACGGTAACACGCTACTTAAGTCTGTCAGGCGATCTCTTAGCTCGAACAGGGTTCAATAAGGGTTGCCATGGCTCTGCAGGGTTCTACCAGGATACTCCAAGGCCTTGATAAGGAGGCGAAAGGGTTTCTACAAGGGCTTTTGACGCTTCAAGGGCTACCTATAGGCTTCTGCAGAGTGCTTTAGCATGATATGCGGGTTCCGCTAAACACAGGGTTCCAGATTAAGGAAGCAAGTTTTCACCGAAGGTCTTGCGCAATATAAAGGGAGAGACAAACCACGACAAGAACAAAAAATCAAACAACCTGAACCCAAAGCCCTAAGACCCTATAAACCCTAAACCCAAACTGAGCCCCCTCGATACCGAATATCATGGGGACCCAAGTACAAGACCCTTTGAGAAAAGGGTGTATCTGCATGAAACTAACTCCACCCAAACTTGGGTGCGTCAGGCTCAGCATTGCACCCCTTCATCTGAAGGCTCCCAATTCAAAGCCTCGCTACACCCAAAGAATGTAGAGTAGAGGGTTTGTTTTAATTCTGGGTTTTCTGCTGAAATCTCTATCTACATAACGATCGTTTATTGTCTACTTCAATCTTTAGTCCCCCCCGAGCCCTTTTAAAATCAACACGGCCCACGATCCGAGCCAAAGGCTTCAAGAACCCATAACTGCCTGAGGCAGTCAGCGAAATTATATACATACATATATATATATATATCCATGTATGTGTATATATATATATATATATTGCCTCCTACATGGCTGAGCGAGTCGCGAAGTAGGGTACAAAGGTCTTACAGGTAAATGCATATATATATATATATACATACATATGTATATACATACGTATATATATATATATACACATGCATATATATGTTTTTGTTTGTGGGCCCTTTTCTATATGCTGCATGTTCAGGGCTTTAGGGTCTGATGACAAGCTCTGAAACCATGTGTAATTGGGACAACACAAGACTATAAGCCCCTGAAGGATAGGTATAGGTAGATAGGTACTTAAGTAGGTAGGTAGGTAGGTAGGTAGGTAGGTAGGTAGGTAGGTAGGTAGGTAGGTAGGTAGGTAGGTAGGTAGGTAGGTTAGGTAGTTAGGTAGTTAGGTAGTTAGGTAGGTAGGTAGGTAGGTAGGTAGGTAGGTAGGTAGGTAGGTAGGTAAGTAGGTAGGTAGGTTCGTAGGTAAGCAATCTTCTTATCACCAGCCTTTGGATCAGCTTGCCCGTCCAGCAACTTCATGACCTCAGAGTTGGGTGGTTTAGGGTTTAGGGTTTAGGGTTTAGGGTATCATAAACTACCAAGGTCTACTTTTCTCAAAGGGCCCTAGACATTCTAGGTTCGGGTTCATAGTTATTGCCCACAAGAAAGTAGGTCATGGTAGTTTAAATCCTAAATCGTCCAGAACCCTAAACCCTAAACCCTACTTTAGGGCCCTCAACCCTAAACCCTAAACCTCAGGCCCCGCAGGGCTTCAGGGTTCACAGGGGCAGCTCAGGCTTTTTGGGCTTTAGGGTTTTGGTGCTCCCCTGAGGCTCCACGGACCCCTTTACTATGTTCTTGGAATCTTAAAAGGTTCTCCTGTATAGGAACCACTTTACGGCCAAAGTATATACAATGCATTCGGAGGTCGATGGCAAGCGCTTCCTCAGTTGTAACTCTGTCTGGCCATGACTGAAAGCCTAGACCCGAACCCTCTGTACGAAGTTCAACGCACGCTCAGGGACCGACAACCCAGAATCCCGGAAAGCCCAAACCCATCCAAGAAGGGCAAGGCAGGTTTCTCTGAAGTGTCCTGTAATAGGGGTTACTGTGCGGATGGTAACAAGGGTTCCGTGTCGGGAAAAGAACAAGTCGAACGAGATGCTGAGTTAGAAAAACAACAAAGTTACATTAATGTGGGGCTTTCATAATTAGAATAGGGTTGTGGGGGTTCCTTATTCTATCTATAGCATCATATACCCCAAACCCTATTCAAAATTATTAAGGCTCCCATATTCTGAGGAATCCTACAGACTACCATTAGTTCTTCAGGCCGCAAAATCAGTTCAAGAAAAGTCTACTCAAGCCATCTCGACCGTACGTCTTGCGAACACGCAACTTGGCCCTAAACCGCCAGAAGAGCCTCAAATGCTTCGAAAAGCTTTTGCAAAATTCCCTGAGCACTCCAGCCGTTTCGGAGTGGCCATTGAAGACTGCGTGGTGGAGTGCCGTCCTGTTTCACTTCAGGAAGTACCCATCAACTAGCACTAGAACGACCACTCGACAGAAGAGGATTAGAACTGTAGAGCAGTCGGACTACTGAAACTGAAGGAAGGCTCTTTCCGTGTGCATTAGAGAGAACAGCTAAGCAGCTGGTCCTAGTCTAGAGCTCGAGTTCCCTAGAGCTCGAGTTCCTGATAACGATGACCGTTGCGACGATGATGGCAGAGGTGATGGTGGTGATGCCGGTGGTCATGGAGATGATGACGATGTCGGTAATGATGGTCATGATCAATGATGGGAATACAGATCTCCCTCACTCTCCATCCCCCTCCAGCTGTCATCATCATCTTGGTCATCGTACATCTTATCAGTACTTGCAGCTTCAGGGTGACGGCTTAGGAGGCCGCCTTATAGTTGAGGAGTTGGGCTTTGCGGCTTAGTATGTTTAGGGCTTAAGGGATTTTCAGAAAATTTGGGGATGTAGGGGGGTCAAGAGGCCCTAAAAAATCCAGGGATAGATCTTGTTGGAAATTGCTGCGGTTGTTGGCACGGGAAACCTATGCCGCCCATGATCTTGTACCCGAAGCCCTGCACCTGGTAACTTACCGACAGCCCAAAAAAACCTGTCACCTACATCCTGGTTACGACAAGCACTAAACCATCAACCCTAAACCCTAAACCCTGAACCCTAAACCCTAAAACCCTAAACCCCTAAACCCTATAAACCCTATAAGCTCTGAAGCCCTGAAGCCCTAAACCCTAAACCATGCAGTCCATCCATCACTGTCTCGAGCATTCGGGTTAGCCCGGCTTCCCAGGATGAAAGGCACCAAGTCCTGGCGGTTCGGGGAGCTAAGCTGTGAGTTTCTCTTGAGGTTTAAGGTTAGGCTTTAGGGTTTAGGGTTTAGAGTCTAGAGGTTTAAGGTTAGGGCTTAGGGTTTAGGAGCTCTATTTCTATGACTGTACTAGTTTTCTCTGGTTCCCGAATGCCTTTTTGAATCGCTGCGCCTCACGGCTTGGAGATCGTAGGCTCTAGATTGCCACGGTAAGCACTCTGCCACGCCGTCTAGGTAAAGTGTACCTATGGTCTCCATTGTAGTTCCTTTTAGGAGTTACCTTATCGGATCCTTTATATAAAATTGGTCAAACCAAAAAAGGGACTATAATGGAGACAAAAGGTATGCTTCCTTGATGACTGGGTAAAGATAGAAAAGCTTTTGAGCTAGCCTTGCCTTCGGATCAACACTTCTTAACATATGGAGCCCTTGCAAATACCCGTGTAGGGCACTACAAACGCATGGGGCCGAAAGTGATCCGCAAAGTAGTTCGAACCTTTCATGCTCGCAGATGGCCACACACTTTGGCGAAGCTATGCTTGGAAGAATCATGGGCTACGGTAAGCGTTACGATACAGGAAAGCAGACCCTAGACCCTAAGCGAAGTATAAGTATATAGGGAAATAAGGCTTGTGCAGTGTTCATAAGGAAGAATAGGGGAGAACCCTAAACCCTAAACCCAAAACCGGAATCTGGATGCCAACCATGTCCTGCCAGTGTTGCTGTAAAGACAGGCACTCCGGCGCTGGCCCGCGGCCACCACAATGCGTTTGAATGTCTGTCTTGGCCCGCACTATAGGGGCCTTAATTATTTGAATCGGATTTTGGAGCCCATGATACTATGTTTGTAATAAGCAACCCCACAAAGAAGGTTGGCAACTGTAGTAATAAGGCTCAATGTAGCGAACCCCGAACCAGAAGTCCCAAACCCCCAACACTGAAGCCCCAAAGCCAAGCCCGAACCCTTACCTGTGGCCCAAAAAACCTTACCGTTTTAAGGAGCTGTAGTATAGAAACCATAAGGAAACCTGACAAGGTAGGTCTTTTCGGCTACAGGTAGACAATGATAGCAACCCTTACAGGACCTGAAGCTTCTCCCGAATAGAACTCTTGGGAGGAACCGTACGTACTTCTCCGTCCTCAGTCGCTGCCATACCCGGCCCCAGACCCCGAACCCTCAATCCCAAGCCTAAACCCTAACCCTAAGGGGGTCCCCCCTTCAACAAAAAGACTGCAAAGCCTAGAACCCTCTAACCCCGAGGCCTTGGCAACCCTATAAGCCGCCAGTAAACTCTAAAACCTAAACCCTAAACCCTAAACCTCTAAAACCACCCCAAAGGTCCGTGAGGCCCTTCCGGGCGGCGACATGGAGGGCCGTGCGGCCACGGGAGTCAGGAAGATCGGCCTGCGACTGGTTCGGGTTTAGGGTTTTGGGTTTAGGGTTTAGGGTTTGGGGTAGGTGTAGGTTTAGGGGGGCTTCAGTGTTTTGTGCCTCCTACTTCACGACAATGGAGGGTTTGGGGTTTCGACGCTCGCGCTCGCAGGCGCGGCTCCAGGCACAACGAGCCCACTACAGGGTTTAGGGCTTGGGGTTTAGGGTTTAGGGTTTAAGGTTTAGGGTTGTAGTAGAGTTTAGGGTTTAGGGTCACCTGTCAAGCCAGTGTATCTTATAAGGTGTTTGATCAGGTGTTGAAGCTTTTGATTGCAGGATTGCGTATGGTTTTATCAGGTTCATAGAATGCCAGAGGGTTTTCCAGCGTTCTTATAGCGGCCCCAAACCCTAAACGCTAAAACACTAAACCCTAACACCCTATAAACCCTATAAGCCCTAGAGCCCTAAACCCTAAAACCCTGAACCCAAAAACCTTACTTCTGCGGGCTTCGTGTTAGCTGTCTCAGCTTGAGCAACCCAAGAGACCTCTCGCTGGCCTGGGGGCCTGGGAGTTCGACAGAATGTGTGGGGGCCTTAATGATTAGAATGGGGGGGGGGTTTTCTGGGGCTCCTTTATCGTAGAATTTCACTAAGCAGCCCTAAGGAATACTATTGGCAATTATTTCAGGCTTCTATATTAGATTATGGTTTCGGTTTCGGGTCTAGGCTTGGATAGAAATCATTAACCGAGCCTGTTTGTGATTTTGGCTTTGGGGTTCGGAGGCTAAGCGGGGATCGGTGTCATATCAGCAACCTGGCCATGTTTGACCGCTTAAACCCTAAACCCTTTTATGTTGTAAAAGGACTTTAGAAGGGGTGGTGGGGTTGTTCCATTTCGGCTTCAGAGCCATAAACCCTAGACCCTAAACGATACTGAAAACCCGAAACCTTGCGGTAAGCCCTATGCCCTAAACCCTAAATCTTACTGCAAATCCTAAACCCAAACCTCGTAACCCCTAAACACAAAACCCTAAACCCTAAACCCAAACCCCTAAACACTAAACCTCTAAAGTCGAAATCGTAACCCTCTAAACACTTCGCCTCGAAAACCGAAATCGTAACCCCCTAAACCGCCAAACCTCAGGGTTTAGGGTTTAGGGTTTAGGGTTTAGGGTCGTAGGCTTGGCTTCCGGGCTGTCCTGGGCTCTTGAACGTGAAGGCTCATACTGAAAGACTCCCTGCCAAGGCTGCCTTAAGCTCTAAACCCTGTGTAGACCCTAAGCCCTATAAATCCTAAGCCCTGAACGCTAAATGTTAATGTTAAACCCCTAAACTCCAAAGCCGTTTGCGCTGAGCCCTAATATCGGGGCCCTAATTCTCGCAGTATAGGGCTTGGGCGTAGAATCTTATGGTACAAGTGTCACAAGGAACCTCAGAAAATCCCTAAACCCGAAACGCATTTGTTGTAGTTTTTTAACTGGGCTTGGGGAACCCTAAACCCTAAACCCCTATTCTCTAAGCCCTGCAAGCACCGACAATTTCAACCCCGAGGATTCACCCGAAAAGCCAAGCAAACTTTCGCAGAGCGCTCGCCCTAAACAATCCAAGGGTTCGGGTTTGAGGGTTTAGGGTTGCAGAAGTAATCAATTAAAGGAACTACCGTGTAAGACCGTTATGCACATCCAACAGAACCCCTCCAAAGCTATAGCAAACCTGTATTACTTGAAAGGTTTCAGGGTAGGAAGCTCCCTCTTCTGCCTGCAGCGCAGTGCGTGGACATTTGTGAGGCAGCCTAAGTGAGCAGGGACCCTGAAGCGATGCTGTGCAGGGATTTCAGGGCTCTATACGGGCTCTACTCGTCTGTAAGAGGCTTTCGACTAGTGGTTTGGGCCTTAGGGGTTGAACCGGACTCAAGGAAGTGGGTTGCCTGCGGGATCTCCAGATCCAGTTCGGGAGAATGCTCTAGCTGCTCTTGTTGTTGTAGTAGGGGTGGCGACGTAGGAGCCTCACACAAGGAATCTGCTTAGGGATGTGGGGTCTAGCAAGACCAAAATGTGCTTGGCCCGGCGACTGGTGACAAGCAAGATGCATCAAAGAACGCAGCACTTCTATGAAACGAGCCTGCCTTCCATATGCGTTAACTGTATAAACCCCGAATTCAGGCTTCTGGCACACCCGTAGGGCCACTAGATACAAACTGAGCAAGACGAATATCAGAACAGCTGATGGAGCCAAGACCTTCCAAGACCAGTGGTAAATCCGCGTTTCGAATGTAGGGTTCGACATAAGAGGGGATGTTGCATCAAGACTAAGAAAGCGTTGGCATAGTCCGAGTAACCCCCCGGAGCAAAACATGAACCCACAAATCGAAGGGATGGACCAGCAACAAGAATACAGCATAGCATCTGGAAGCAAAAAAGCAAACAGAACAACGCAAGAGCCACGGTCATGGTTGTCTCAGCAGCAGTGAAAGGAGTAGTATCGAAGTTGGACATCTTTAAAGCTTTGCGACGGTCTCAACCACAGCGGCGTTTGGCTCAAAAACACGAACATCATGCGTTTGTCCTGATCTACATTAACTTGTAGTCATTTCTGTCTATTTGTCTTCATTTGTCAACGGTTGTTTTTGATTGTCTTCACGTGCCTCCGTTTGCCTTTAATTATGACGCTACGGTGCCTTGATCAACCTTTACCCCCTTGCTCGCCTGCGATCCAACCCGAACCGGCCTGTTCTTGTCCCAAGCCCAAGCCTCCGCCCCGCGTCTCAGCACGAAAATCAAGAACTTAACACGCAAGAGCACAAATCCAAGCCGCCGTGAAACGGCCAGGGCTTTAATCAAGCCTCAGGGTTTAAACCTCAGAGCTTAAATTTAGGTGAAACGTGGGCAGATGCGGCACATGCTCTTCAAAATCGACCAGGTAGAATCTTAAATCTATGAAATCTGATGCGCCATTAAAAACGGCTGTGCACCCCACCCAAAACATCTGTAGGAGACATGATCACAATTGTGGCATGACCCGGAAAAACCGTATTGAGCCTCAAAATATTTTATGGAATCTCGTCTTGCTGGAACTCCGATGACTTGATTGGAATTGTGGGAACATCGGGCAAATCATAGTACATATTAACATTGTTGAACTCCCGGAAATAGTCTCAAATACAGGGGGGAGTAAGGGGAGACTGCACCCCCCTCAAGTCCTCCCGAACGCTTGTTGAGAGAGTTTTTTCACCTTTGAAGTATTTAGGTGACAGCCTTTGCAAGTTTGTGAAGCTTCGTTACACCTGTGTTACAAAGTCTATTTCCATTTAAACAAAGTCTGTAGTTGGCATTTATTTGCTTTGATTTGCTCTGGCGCGCAAACTTTGAGTTCCCTTGTCAATTTTTGACAACCGGTGTCTCAATTGAGCTTTATAGCTGAAGTTGATCTTCGACTGACGCAACTGGCATCGCTTGTCTTACATAGGGTTGTTGGCCCTGAGGTGGAACACCCTGTGGTTTGAGGGTGTCGCAACTCCCAAACGAAGAAAGTACCGCACTCCTCTCCTCCGATTAATAAAGACCACTCGAATATCAAAACACGATCCCGGGAGGGCATGCTTTCCGGAACGCGCAAGAAGAGGAGTTTAAAAGGGCCGAGAAGAGATGCAGATTCCGGGATATTAGGAGATATGACGGGGACGCTAGGGATCCTTCCAGGGACGGACTTTCGATCACGACATGTGGTATTGCCCTCGTTTCGCTGATACGAGAGTAGAGCCGCATGATCAGTTGCAGAAGCAATTGGGATGGCCTACGACTGAAAGGAACAGAGAGTTCAACAAGAGAGTTGTTGTGCACATGGCTTCGGTGAGAAGGAAGTGGCTCGAAGAGAGATATGGGGAGGGGGAAACCCTCCCGAGCAGGGGTCGGGATTTTAGCTGAGGTTGGTACTGGAGTGCTCCCAGTGCGCGGCGACGCGAACCACTGTTGCACAAGACCAACTTTGACGACTAGATGGTTGGAACATGTTCGAACCCATAACTGTAGGGAAGCTCTCTCTCTCTCTCTCTCTCGTTTCTCTTTCTCTCTGGGGCAGCGTTACGGTTTAGGGAATATCCCATCATCAGAAACCTTACGCTTGCAAAAGCGAGTGTGTACTGGAGCCTGTGAGTTGAATTCCTTTTCCTCTCCGAATTTAAACTCAGGGATTATCCCAGCATCCGTGAATCCTGCGATTGTAGGATTGCAGTGTGTACTAGAATGCGTGAGATGAGTTGACTGCAAGAACTGCAGCCAGCAAGGTCTGCAGGGAACGTAGGACTGCAGGCAGGCAGTACCCGGGAACTGCAGGCTGCAGCCACCGAAGGAACGTAGCACTGCAGAGTCTGCGGCCAGCCCAAGGCCCAAGGCAGCGTTTAGAATACATCCAGGACATAATTGAAGATGCTAAAACAAACCACCCAAGTACTAAAACCTAGTTCGGGCAAATCCCGCGTTTATACCTGAGCCGGGGGGTAATAACCCCCCGAAACCTAATTATTCTTGTACCGTTTCGGACGAAACTTCATGCTCTCTGAAAAGTGAGCTCAGGCCCAATCGCCTTGACGAGTTGCGGTTCATGAAATCCAGAATGGGCCCCCATCGTAGTCATGGCAGGCTTGCGTATTATGACATCTGCATGTTTGAAAGTATTAATGCGGGAACATGTCTGCAGGGAAAGCTGGCAGGACCAATGCCCTCCAGAACCTAAAATCAGAAAGTCGAGAGCAGGGTTCAGGGTCCGGTGAATGCCCTCCGCACTCGAATCTCCACACGAACACAATAGGGGCGTCAGCGATTAGAATACGCTTTTGTCCAGGGGATCTATTGGGGCGACTGTGACTTATGATTCAAGCATCTCTATTTGCCGCGGGGCTTGATGAGGCACTCCACATACTCGTGGTTGTTCCAGAACCTGATCGTCCCAATCAAGGACGTGATTTCCATGTCTGAAGGCTTCATCAATATACGTATTCACAAGGTCGCCCGGCTAAGAGCCTCTAGACATTAATGACTTGGTGGAACAAAATCTTAAACCCTGAACCTAAGAGGTACTTAATCTCTCTGGCACAAGACTGTCTGGCACAAGACGTGACTTCAAGGAACAGCAAAAATGCAAATTACAACCTGCTTTCAAAGTTACAAGCTCGCAAGGGCCACTGCTACCGGCTATGGCTGACCAGGGGCGATACTGCGAAGTCACTACGGCGACCTTGTGAAGAAGAGACCCTTCTATGTGGAGCTTTGTGAAAGTCCGGACTTGCTCTTCGCTCGTGAGGAGAATGAAGATAACGAGGGTCCTGACCTGTCTCGATACATGCAACTTACTGACCGATGGTTGGCAGATCACTTTTGTTGTATACGTTTGCAATGTCTAACTCCTGAGGGACGAAATGAACCCTAAACTATACCATATATGGATTCATACTATATGGGAATAAGGCCCCTACTTTTACGGGTCATTTTGGCCCTCAGGGCTTAGACTGCCCCACTAATCATTCAACATCGCGTTGCTTGTCATTCGTGTTCAGAGAACAGGCCAGGGAGCACTGCAGCCGTGAGTGGCGACCACCCGCGATCATTCCTGGGCCAATACAGACACTTGCAGACACACCCTGTTAACATTTTTCTAGTCCAAGGCAAAGCCAGACTTAGGCTGAGGTGTTGAAACCTTACTGCAGGTGTTGGCGGAACATAAGGTGTAGCATAGCTGCAGACACTGTTGGTATGAGAGATAGTGCAATCTTCCGGGTGTCTTACCCCGGAAAGAGACCAGAAGCCCGAAACCAAGGTGGCACTCCCGAATCTAGCGGGGACTGCGAAGCTTCGAAAGATGCGCAGGCAGCCGTACAGAATCGCAGGTAATCTGCATCTTCTCCTTGTGTAGCAAATACAACCAATGCGCGGCCATTCAGTATGTCTTGTCGTGACGGCTTGGTCTAGACTGGGCTGTTTTGGCTCCCCCATGCCAAGCCGGGCAGACAGTCAATGCTTTGTCACTCACTCTCGGCTGGTTAGCCGGAGTGTATTGCGACTTCGTCCCGTCATGTCCACTTACGACCAGGCCCCAAACCTACATCCGACCTTCCTGGCCTTTTGTCACCAATTTCCTGGCCTTGTTGTAGGTATGGGCTTTACTATCGGATCTCCAGTCACAAGCTCGCAACTTAGTCCTGGAGATTTCGATGAGAGATAGCAACCTGCAAGTTGACTTAAGTTGATATTGAAGAGGTAACGTCCAGGTCCATCCGAAACCACTACACAGTATACCCTGGAGCCTTAGGCATACTTAGGATGTGGAGTTTCATGTTCGGTGCGCTTGACAGAACCATGCTCAGATGCGACCGGCATGGAGACTCAGGAAACTCTGGGAGCCGAGGGTGTCGGAGCTTGCCGATTTCCATAGGGTCGACAGCTCAGTGCTCGAATTTCGAAGATAGGGCTTAGGGCAACGGTTTAGGGTTTCGGGTTTGAGGTTTAGGGCACAGGCTCTGAACCCAAGACAGAAAATGTCAGGCCAGCCACCGATAGTTCACGCTCGCCCCCTTCATGAACAGCTCGCGCGCATCCTGCTTTAGCTGCCAGGCAGGAGGAGCTTCCCGGTTGTTCTCTACAGAAATCACCCTAAACCCTACCCAAAGTCTCCATTGTAGTTCCTTTTTTGGTTTAACCAATTATACATTAAGGATTTTATAAGGTGTCCCCAAAAAGGAACTACAATGGAGACTATAGGTAGACCCTTGGAATTAAACCCGACAAGCCCTATTAATCC